AGATTTCTGTGCAGCCTTCACCACTCTCTGCAAAGCTTTTCTTTCTGCAGCTGTGCAGCCTCCATGCCACACATTGATGCTGGAGCACAGGATGCTCTCCACTGCACACCTGTAGAAGGAGGTGAGGACTGAGCTTCCCAGACCAGCTCGCCTCAGCCGTCTGAGGAAGTAGAGTCTCTGATGAGCTTTCTTGATCAGGCTGGTGGTGTTGTTGCTCCAGCTGAGGTTGTCATTCATGTGTACACCCAAGTACTTGTAGCTGGAGACCACTTCCACCGCAGATCCTCTTATGTTCGGGGGGGTGTAGATGTTTTTGTTCCTTCTGAAGTCCACAATCATCTCCTTTGTCTTCTTCACATTGATGTGAAGGTTATTCTTTCTGCACCAGCTCTCCAGGTGTTCCACCTCTTGCCTGTAGCTGGACTCATCATTGTTTGTGATGCATCCCACCACTGCTGTATCATCTGCAAACTTTACAATGTGACAGCCTGGATGGGTAGCTGCACAATCATATGTGAGCAGAGTAAACAGAAGGGGGCTCAACACACATCCCTGAGGAGAGCCAGTGCTGAGGGTTGCCACAGTATGCTCTTGCAACAAAACAAACAATGGAATTCCGTTTTAGTATTTGTACAGTAAAAATGAATTTGGTATAAAGATTTATTTAATTTTTACGTGAATAACTCACTTAAATATTTGAGATTAAAGTTGTTTTACTGTCAGCACTTTAGTTTTGACCAGTGGTTTAGAGGTTAAACCAGATATCTAATAATACTGGTCAATATTACAATTAAACACGACAGCTTACCCACTCTAAAAAATGCTCGCTTCCTTACAACATTTTTGAGTGAATTTTAGGGGGAACTCATCAGGGTGACTTTTTTATCTGGATTATTGAAGCATGCATCAGGATATTGTCAGGGTGATAGTTGCTCCAAAGCAGAAACACTCGTATCAGTCATTTATGAGGAAGTTACAAATGTCATACTGTTGTTTGTTGGTGGGACGTGCAATACTTCCTGCTGCTTTGTAGGACGCTTGTTTAGAGAACATCCTGGAACTGGTATGACTTGGAGCTGTTGCTCTGCTCAGACACAAAAGGGTGCCTTTTTTTTCCCCTTCACATTTAGATAACTTTATCCTGACTGGTGGAGACGTCAACAATAGAAAGGCGTGGTGCACTCTAGGCACTTATTTGTCTCTCATCTTTAAAAAGACCTTACACAATCATTAAAGTGTGATTTAATGTGATTAAGAAGCTTAAATATTTTCATGTTTCTGTAACGCACTCTTAAATCGCTCCATTCAGACATAACTCAACACATTCTGAGAGCCGTGGACAGCCTTTGTTGGCATTCACGTATTCTGTTGACCAAAGACAATGGAAGGAAATGGGAAGCCCCTAGCACATAGCCAAGACCTCCAGAAGCTTCGCAGAGCACTAATTTGAACGTTTAGCCAACTTTACATGTGTTGATTAGAACGTAAGACTACTTGAGCACATTTAGTCGCCTGGGGACGAAGGAAAGGTGAAACAAAGTGATGGCTGAAGGTAAGAAGGTATTTTTAACCAACAGGAATCCTTAACAGCATTTATGTTTGGTACTATGAATGAAGGTGTTACAATGTGACTCTGAAAAGAAGAAAATGACATGAAATGTAGCGTAAATAATGATGACAGAGACGTTTTGTTTCCTTACCCCCCCCATTGAATTATTGTTATTGTCACAGAAATACAGCTGAGAGAAAAGAAGCCGAGAAGTCTGCCTCGGTCTGATGGGTGTGGTCTGTATAACTTTGATGGTATGTTCTTTGAGTTCTACTATCACTTTATTATTCTTTACTAGTTATACATATACATTTTAATGACACATTGTAGTCAGCAACATATGAAGTTAAACAGTATGTTATTGCAGCTACAATAGATTGAGACCGTTTTTTTTAATGGTTAGTATAAATCCAGCATTGTCACATAGTCGAGAAAAAACTAAATAACTTTTCTAGATTTTATTGTCAGTGCCACTGCAAATTATAAAATCCATTTTTTAGGTCTATTTTTGAATACATGGTGGATAATGGTTTTTTTTTTTTGGTCTTTAGCTTTCTTTCCTAATGAATAATTTTATTGGAGATACTTTAAATGCCAGTTTGTATTTAACTAAATTGTTAGAATCTGAATTGTGTTCGATTGTATCTTTTTTAACATTCAAAAACAGATGTGTATGGATTTTTTTTTTGTTATTGTCTAATGTTTGAGTGCAAAGAGAAAGTTTCAAAATCTAAACAGTATTTTCCTGTTTTCAAAATGAGCCAGCTGAGTTTTGATGAATCTAAAAACCTCTAAACCTGTTTTTGGCTTGTCTAAAGTTGTAAAGCTTTGCAGTTTAAAAATGCTGAGTCGTGATTTACAAGGTTGGGGGAGTGGTGGCACAGATGTTAGAGAGGGTGGGGCCTGTGATCAGAGGGTCGCTGACCAACTCCGGTTCAACTCCTGAACCGAAAACATAAAAATATGGGTGGAAAAGTTGAAGCGCCCAAACCTGCCTCCACTCTAATTTGCTCCATGGGTCCATGAGCAAGGCTCCCAGCCCACCCAGATGCTCCCCGGCCTCCTTGGATGGCAGCCCTCTGCTTCACATGTGCAATGGGAAAAATGCAAATAATTAATTTCCCCATAAAAGATTAATAGAGTACAATAAAGATGTCCAAAAAATAAATATTTATCAGCCGCTTCTAAACAGCAAACATGGCCGATAACGTTTTGACCCATCTATGTTTGTGTGTCTGTCTATTAGCAAAATATCTCATGAATAATTAGACAAATTTTATTTAAACTTTCAGAATTCAATTAACGATTGGGGGTTGATCCAATTGAAGATGGCTGCCACAGCTAATCGACATTAACCAAAACAAAATTGACTGTAGCTCAGTCTGTTTTACAGATACTGAACTAAAATTTAATGTGGTAGTAATGAAATGTCTTTCAAAACACGCTGAGCGCGACATCTCATAATATTGCACAAGGTGATGCATACCGTATTTTTCACCAAGTAAGTCGCACCTTTTTGCATAAATTTGCAAGTCCTGCGACTTATACACCAAAGCGACTAATATACGTCATTTTCCCATATTTATAACTCAATTTTTGGCTGAGATCTGACGATTTCATTCATTCTGACATGAAAAATATTAAACATTATCATCTGCAGCCGCTAGAGGGCCCTTGAGCCTTAAGGTAAGCCAAGTGTCTCATTAATTAATAGGTAAAAGTGGGTATTAATGAGACATTTGGCTTGCCATACAGAGCCACCTTCGTCTCACTCCGGAACTCCTGGAGCACACGTCAAATCAGTTGCATATCGCCGCGCCGCCCAGGTGAAATGCAGCTGATTTGACCATTAAAGTGCATTTATTAAGAAAAAGTTAAACTGAGACACACTTTGCTATAATTTTGAGCAAAGAAATTCTTGTTTTTAAGTGTTATAATTGTTAAATTCTTGTTAAAGTCTTCTTGTGTGCGTTCCTGCCATTTTGGCAGCCAATCGATTTTTGGCACAACACCGGCTCACGTTTCCAGGTGGTCAGCGGTGACGCATAATAGATGCGACGTATACGGCGAAGTGACTTATTTATGTTTTCCCCACTTTTATTAGACACTTTTGTATTGATGCGACTTATACGGCAGAAAATACGGTAGTTATTTTTAAGGTTGGGCCAAAACAGCAAAATAGCAAGGTTTCTTACTTCACACTAGTTTATTACCTGAGGGCTGAATGAATCTTTTTGCAAGACAACAGAACACATTTCTTATGTTTGTTGGTATTTGTTGCTTTGCATCTTTAAAAAATGTGAGTTATATATTCAACATAAAATAACTTCATAGTGCAATTGCTGACAAAAATATAGCAATATGCCTTGAAGATGGTTTCTAAGTGCAAAACTTACAAAAATCTTTGTATGTTAATACTCAAAAGTTGTTTTGTTTTACTATTATTCATGTACTCATACAAACTTGGTCTTTTTCTGAGTGTGTGTGTAAAGCATTGATTTTCTATTTGAATTCCCACAGCTCTGGATTTGTCTGGAGGGTTGAGGATCGTCCTGGTGGGCAAGACTGGATCAGGGAAAAGTGCAACAGGGAACACCATCCTGGGAAGAACGGTCTTCAAGGAGGACCCAAGTCCAGTTTCTGTGACGAAACACTGTGAGACGCAGAACGGGGAGGTGGATGGGGTTCCAGTCCAAGTGATAGATACTCCAGGTCTGTTTGATACGGGCATCACCGAGGAGGAATTAAAGTCCAGAATAGAGGAGTGTGTCAAAATGTCCGTTCCTGGACCTCATGCCTTCCTGCTGGTGATCAGGCTTGGTGTCAGGTTCACAGAGGAGGAGAGAAACGCCGTGAAGTGGATCCAGGACAACTTTGGGGACGATGCCTCCATGTACACTATCATGCTGTTTACGTGTAAAGACCAGGCGAAAGCCGACAACGCTCTGAAGGAGTGCAAGGAGCTCCGGAGACTTTCGATCACGTTTGGACGCAGATACCACGCCTTTAACAACAACGACGCCGACGACCGCCTGCAGGTCACAGAGCTGATCAGCATGATCAGAGAAATGATACAGGATAACGGCGGGCAACACTACACCAATGAGATGTATGAGAAGGCCCAGAGGAAGCTGCGAGAGGAGGAGGAGCGAAGGAAGCAGGAAGAGGAAGAGAAGAAAGAAGAGGAGAGGAAAGTGTGGGATGCAGAGAGAGAGAAGCAGCAGAAAGAGAGAGAAAAGAAGAAAAAAGGGAAAAGGAAGAACATCTGTGCGGCCGCGGCTGCTGCTGTCGTGCTGGTGTTTGCCGGGGTGATTATAGCAGTGTGCGCTAACACCACAGTAGCTCTGGCTTTAGGAACTCCTGCTCTTCTCCTCGGAGTTTTATGTGGCTTAGCTGCCATGTTAACATGGAAGAACATAAAATGTAAACCTAAAGAATACAGTGTAGCTTAATATAGAGAATGGTGATGTCACGTTCATCGGTTTTCAATTTGTGAAACTGGAATTATAGACGGAATATTTAAAATGCATTAAGGAATACAGTAACACATTTATATGTTTTCCAAATAATTTTATCTGCAAGCCTGTTGTGATGCATGATCGTCAAACTTCTACAAACTTCTATGGAGAAATAGTTATTGTCTTATTGTGATGGCATCAAAAGAAATTTATTTTCATTTAAAAAGATGAATGAACAAAATTTAACCTTTTGAGGTAAATCTGCCGATTTTATTTAGCAATCTTGGGTTACCCTTTAGCAGTTCTGGGCCAAACTACTTAATTTTGTGTTTTTAGTATTTCATGCTAAAAAAAAGTTAACATGTTTGAGTCAATGTTGCAATAAAAGAAAATGTGAATTGAAAATGGCAGTAAAGCAATGATGTAAAATGTAAAACTTTATGTTTGTTTCAATGTTTTCTATATTGTTGGAAAATCAAGAAGAATATATGCAATAATAAAGTAATGTTTTTCTCCTGAATTTTACACTTGATTTATTTTATGTAATAATTTGTTGAATGAAACTTCTGTGCTTGATTGTTTCAGATCTAAACTATGACATGTTGTTTCCTGTGCTGCATTTTTAGCAACATTACAAGCTGAAAGGAAGCAAGAAACAATGGTGAACATCCATTTACGCTCCACGTTTGCTAAAGTCACTGACACAAACTGATGGGGTCAAATTCTGTAAATTCATATAAGAAGAAACGATTTTAAGCCAACATCGAAAATATGAGTGACAAAGTAATTATGTAGTGAAACCATGGGCATGAAATGTCAGTACGTTTTAAGATTTTTTTTTTAATGCAAGGTGTTTTTCATAAGCCATTGGTTTAAGAAACAATATTACATATTACAATTTACCTGTTTCTGTGCTCTTAAGTCATTTAGATGTCTGGACTGAAGCTGGGTCACAGAACTCTGAGCATAGACATAATTTTTATTACTAGACTAAATGTTCCCACCTTCTCTTGTTGTGAATTCAAGTCAGCAGCACCCTGTCCATGGGAGCTGCCATGTTGTATTTTTGGAACCAGAGTCTGCTCACTATTGATGCAGAGCTTTAAGTCCCGCCTACTCTCCTGCTAACAATCATGGTGTTATATAAGCTTACTTTAAAGCATGAAATAACTACTTAGAGCTAAACCTATATAAATAATTAATCTTTAAACATGCAGCAAGAGAAGTATTTTTCTCAAATAAGGACTTGACTGTAAGTTTGATGCGGAGCAGGGAGAAAATCCTAGCCATGGATGCAGGTGACTCTGCGCTTCTTGTTCAGTTGGACCTTACATCTGCGACTGACACCATCGACCATGATAATCTTGTTTCTAGCTGGAGCAGTGGGTGGGCATCACAGGGTTGGTTTAGGTCCTATCTCTCCCACAGAACCTTTTTTGTCAACATCAAGGATCAACATCAATGGCTGCTTTTCGGTTGGGAGTACCGCAGGGATTCATCCTCAGTCCTCTTCCCTTTTTCTTAATGCCTGCTGCCACTAAGTGCTATTTTTCATAAACACATCATACCTTTTAATTTTTACTCTGATGACTGTCAAATTTACTTCCCTCTGAATCACACTGGTGCACGCTCTATCCAACCTCTTCTTGACTGTCTGGTTGGCATCAGGGATTGGATGGCTTTAAATTTCTTAAACTTTATAAGAAGAAGACTGAAGTCATGTTGTTTTCACCTAATGGTACAATCAAGAGCCATTGTATCGATGTTTGCTCTCTAGCCTCATTAGAGAAACAAGTTGTCACTAATCGAGGAGTGAAAATGGACCCTTCAATGAAGCTAAACAGTCATGTAAACACAATTGTTAGATCATGTTTCTTTCAGTTGCAGCAACTGTCTAAATTGAAGCCCATACTGTCCAAAAGTCACGAGACAGTAACACATGCTTTCATACTATCCAGGATTGACTACTGCAATGCGCTTCTTCATGGAATCAGTCAGACCGCTATTGCACGTTTACAACTAGTTCAAAATGCTGCAGCCTGATCTTTAACTGATACAGAGAGCACATTACTCCATTTCTGGCCTCCCTTCACTGGCTCCTGGGCCACTTTTAAATTAATTTTAAAATCCTTCTGTGAATTTTTAAATCTCTGAACAGTTCTGCCCCCTTTTATCTCACTGATCTGCTGCAGCCATATGTCCCACTGCACTCTCTGGTCAGCAGACCAGATGCTTTAATCAGTTCCAGGCACTCGTTTTAAGCTCAAAGGTGACAGGGCTTTCTCTGTTACAGGTCCCAAACTGTGTGTGGAACGAGTTACCACTGCATGTCAGGCAGGTTCCCTCTCTCACTGTTTTTAAGTCACATTTTAAAAACTTACTTTTATTCCCTGGCTTTTGACACTGAGTGAGCTGATTTCAACTTATCTGTATTCTATAATGTTAATCGTTTACTTTTTATATTTACATATTTGGATCTATGCATTTTTTGCAATGTCCTTTGCTTGTTTGTTTTTGCTGTACAGAATTTGGTTGGCCTTGTTGCTGTTTATAAGTGCTTTATAAATAAAGTGTTATGGTATGGTATGGTATGGTATGGTATGGTATGGTATGGTATGGTATGGTATGGTATGATATGGTATGGTATGGTATAGTATGATATGGTATGGTATGGTATGGTATGATATGGTATGGTATGGTATGGTATGGTATGGTATGGTATGGTATGATATGGTATGGTATGGTATGGTATGATATGGTATGGTATGGTATGGTATGGTATGATATGGTATGGTATGGTGTGGTATGATATGGTATGGTATGGTATGATATGGTATGGTATGGTATGGTATGGTATGGTATGGTATGGTGTATGGTATGGTAAAATGGATGATGTTTCAGGAAACAGTGTCAGGAGAAACTGATAGACACAGTATGGGTGACTTCTAATCAGTTTTCCAGCTTTATGTCAGGATCTAAATTTTTAATTGTCTTGATACCTTTTTGAGTTTATTTTTAGATTTATGTCCTTTGTTATTGTTTTCTATGTGTTTCAGCGTGTCCCCTGTGCCATCTCTCAGTTCACCTTTCCTCACTCACTTTCTGTTCCTCAGCTCCCTTCCATGCCCACTCTTACTGTTCGTTGTCATTTAGTTCAGGTGACTCCACTCCTCCCATTCAGCTTCATCCAACGTTTTCATTCGTCTACAGTCTGGCATTCTCTGAGTCTCCTGTTGTATGTTCTTCCTGCTGCCATGTCAGCTCCATTGCTTTGGTTTTTAAAGGTTTACGGTTTGTTTTAGCTCCTGGTGTTTGTCTCCATAAACGGTGACACTTATCTGCAGTAGTTGCTGGAGTACAGAGGAGCTGCTCATGGCTGACAGTCTTGCGTTTGTCACTCAGCTCAAGTATGATTCTTGAAAAAGGAAGACAATAAAAACATTCATCTTTGTTGGAATCTGTGTGCTGTGTGCCTGCAGGCTGGGTTTGTTAGTCCAGTGTTTTTAAAAGTAGGGGCCGCCAGGGGGCGCCAGGTAGGCTTCAGAAAGTTGGAGAGAAGATTTTTAAAAAAGCATTAAAAAAAAATATTATTGTAATAAAATAAAATCTACTTTTCAATAATAATTTTAAAATATATATTTATAATAATATATTGAAAAATGTTTCACCATGCTCATCTTTCTGATTGGATTCCAGTCAAATGTATCAAGCTGCTTTACTCTTGAAGCAAGAACGAAATGAAGTTTCTAAAAAGGCCGAAGGAATAGACCAGCAGCCCTGCAGTGGTGGAAACTGCTGCCAAAAAAAAAAAAGAACTCATTGCCAGCTAAAATTCAAAGGTATGAGGAAGCATACATTAAGTATGGCTTTACATTCATACAGAAAAAATGGCCATGATTGCTCAAAATGCGTCCTCGTTCTGGAGACCCTTGCAAACGAGTGTTTAAAACCTTCAAAACTTCAGCGCCACTTGAGTGGGAATATAATAGTGTTTAAAACATTTTTATGCTCAGCAGCTGTAATAATTAATTGAATATAGTGAATAAAAGTTCAAACATTCTAAAAGTTGATGTTTCTTTATATATTTTGTAGCATTTGTGGGTCTGTGAGAGGAGACTCAGACAGAAACTAATGCTGTTTACGGGGCCATGGCATGGAAAAGTTTGGGAACCTTTTTTTATGAAAAATCATTTGGTATTGTTTTTATTATTTATTAAATAGATTTATTGAAAACATGGCATTTGATACTAAGCAAGACCTTTAAAAAAAAAACAACAACTCCAAGATAAAAGCAATAGTTTCCACAGAGGCCACGTTGTGAGGATACTGCCTCTAAACTCAGGATTGCGCAGACTTGTGAAAATATGTGTGAGATCCAAAGAAAGATTTTGTTTTGCTGCCACACCGAGTGATGAGAAGCTGCAAAAAATGTAACAAATATGTTATCTACAGTAGCGGGAATATTTCTGGGCAGAACAAAGTCCTGTTTGACATTACACTGGCGTTCACTGAAGGAATGCAAACTTCCTGCACAATTGCACACCAATGTTTTAATTAAAGATGCCACAGCATCAGCATATGTGTTGGAAATTATGTTCAGCTATCACCACACTAAATTATATGTTAATATCTATAAAATTGACTAAGTTATTTAAGGGCAGTTAGCTGTGCCAGCCATCTTGAATTGAATTTTCTCTCTAAGAGTTAATCATTTGAAGATACAACCAATGATTACTGTTAGTTTTTTTTTATATATATAAAAAGCTCCCCCTGTCCAGTAGTTGATGAGATATTTTCCCAACAGACAAAAAAACACATAAAGACAAAATTCCATGATCGTCCACCTTCTATGGCTGCAAGTGATAAAAATGTACAAACGATGAAACTTCCAGTTAAACTGATTCAGGAGGTCCGGCTTTGTTTTGAACCCTGTTATCAGCGGTTATTTGGGCGTATTTTTCCATTACAGCATTACAGTCTGTACAGCACTTTGGTTGGCCTTGTAGCTGTTTTAAGTGCTCTATAAATAAAATGATATGGTATTAACCTTTGGTGCACACAGGCACAGTGTTGTTTTACTGGAAACTGAAAGGCAAAAGAAGAATGACAGGGTGTGTTGAGGATAGTGCAAAGTACAACTATACCTCTGTAGTCAGTGGTGTCGTCTACATTTTTGTAGTGGGTATACTGTGCATAGAAACCAAAGTACACTGGTTAGTACAATGTAATCGTCAGTTTATTTTGATTTTTAAGCATACTAAACATTTCCAAATTTCTCTGATGCTTGTATTTGAATGAATGTACAAGAAAAACTTTGTATAACAGTTGGTTTTGTATTAAAGACATGTTTTAGAATTTATAAAACAGTATCAAAGCAAAACATGTTCAAGTATTCAGTTAATACAGAATTACGGTATACAATAATTAGCTGGACAAGCAAATGTAATAAACAAGCGCTGCAAACAGATAGATTGTTACAGAAGTGTTAAACTGCCGTTTAATGTATCCATGACATGTGCCTAATGATATGTCATTGGGCACTTTTAAGTGTGTATACTGAAATTATTAAGCTTTTCTAGTGGGTAAACTCTGTATACCCACATATCACGTAGACTACACCGCTGCCTGTCTGTGGTCGAGTCGTACAGCTGGATTCTTTTTATCATCCGCTTCGATCCACAACTTTTCAAGTTCTGACTGATCACAAGAGATGTGTGTTTTAAAATCTTGTCATTAACTAGTGGAATCAGCTAACTCTATTTGTTAGCAAAACATCTCATGAACAAATGGGCAGCTGTGGCTGAGTGGTCAGAGCAGTTGTCCTCCAATGGGAGAACTGGGGGCCCAATGCCAAAGTATCCCTGGGCAAGACACTGAACCCCTCTTTGCCTCCTATGTGTGTCTGAAATATAATTTTATTAGATAATATATTAACTTAATGAAATGTCTAGATATATGTATCCTGTTTTGATATTTGGAAGGATATTGTGTTAAAAACATGATCTGATTTCATTTCCGGTAGAAAATGGACAGTACATCTATAACTGATCACCATTCGGAATCAACCAAATTCAAGATGGCCACTACAAACCAACTGACTTCAGAAGAAAAAAAAATCTTAAACTTCTTCCAAACTACAGATACAGTGGTGCAGTTGGTACAGCTGTTGCCTTTCAGCAAGAAGGTTGCCAGATCAAATCCTGGACTGGCATCTTTCTGTGTGGTTTTTCAATGTTCTCTTCATGTATGTGGGCTTTCTTCGTGTACCAGTTTCCTCCCACAGACCAGAAATGCGCATGTTAGGTTAACTGGTAACTCTAAATAGTTGTACTTGTAATATGTCCATGCTATGAGAGACCAGGTGGTACATAATTCAGAAAAACCTCTCACACACACAGCTGAGAAGGTCTCACATTAAAACCTCTCACACCTTCTCAGTTGTGTGTGAAAGGTTTTAATGTGCGTGAGAGTAAAGAAGGTTAAATCATGTCATCTGGACCAGTTTCTTTAAGGAAGAAACGTCTCGTCTTCCATCCGGAAGACTTCATCAGTCTGTGGCCTGCCAACCAGATCTAAGTAGTCCTCACTGCTGTGTTTCAAGCCAACCTCCTGTTGGATTAACACATGCAAAACGTGTGAGAGGTTTTCACTAGTGTGTGTGTGGGTGAGGTATTTCTGATTATGTCTCATCTAGCCTCTCATACAGAGCTGTGAGTTTCGTTTTACTGGAAACTCAAATGTTCCTTTTAATGAAGCACAGAGGGAGGGCTTAACCACCGTGACAAGAAAAAAAATACAGCTCTGCCTCTGTGGTGGTTTGATGTCTGTTTTCTAGTTCTCTTTCTATCTGCTGTATAAAAAGATGCCTTTAACCGCAGCTGCAGGTTGGTGTTTTTAACTTTGTCAGTGCATATTGTGTACAGTTACTTATACTTTGATGAGTTTACTTAACCCTCGAGGCTTTAAATGAAACGTGTGATTGCCTTTGCTCACAGATTCCTGCTCTCCAGCTGTAAAAGATCTGAGGATTGTGCTGCTTGGAAAAACTGGATCGGGTAAGAGTGCGACAGGGAACACCATCCTGAAACGGGAAGCTTTTACTTCAAAGATATCTCCAGTTCCTGTGACAAAGAAATGCATGAAAGAAACTGGACACTTAGATGAACGAACTGTGAGTGTTGTTGACACCCCTGGGATCTTTGATACATCGACTGAAGAGAAACAGTTGAAAGAGGAAATAGAGAACTGTATCGTGCTGTCTCTCCCAGGACCACATATTTTCCTGTTGGTCATTCGTCTGGATGTTCGCTTCACAGATGAGGAGAAGAATGCTGTTCAGTGGATCACAGAAAACTTTGGAGAGGAAGCCTCCAAGTATACAATAGTTGTTTTCACCAGAGGAGATGAACTCCAGGAACCTATTGAGAGCTATTTGCACGAAAGTCCTGATTTGAGGAAGCTCACCAGTGACTGTAAAGCTGGATACATTGTGTTTGACAATACATGTGTAGAAAATCGTTTTCAGGTCGCTGATTTGTTTAAACAAATAGACATGATAGTTCAGTCAAATGGTGGCCATTATACCAGCAGCATATACAAAGAGGCCCAGAGGAAACTGTGGTGGCGTGGAGTTGGAGACAACCTTAAGACTGCAGGTCCTTATTTAGTGGGAGCAGCGGCCATAGTCAGTCCAGCTCTTTCAACTGGTGTTAGGGGAGCTACCGGTAATCGTTTGTTGTTAATGGCTGGAGGTGCATTACTTACAGCTGTTAGTTGGTGGAATAAACCACGAACAAACAATAACTAAGTTGTATCAAGCATTAACTAATCTGAAGTCATTCAAAGATTAGTTGATATGAGCAATAATAATATAATAATAATAATAATGTCATCACAATGTCAGCACTGTATGTTTCCATACAATGGCGAAATTAGTCTCTGCATTTAACCCATCCACCACCAGGTGGTGCAGTGGGCAGCTATTGAAAGCGCCCAGGGGACATTTTTGGGGATTAGACGTGCTGCCCAGAGACGCCACGTGATGTGCAGTGACTGGGGATCGAACTTGGGACTCTCGGGTCCCAAGCCGGCTGCCCTGCCTCTACACCATCTCGGCCCCACAATAATATTTATAATCAAACTTTACTTGAGTATTATTATTTCTTGTCATCAATCTTTTACTTTAAATGTTTCAGAAGTTGATCGCTAACATGATTTAGTGTGACTAATAAATTTGTTTTCATTTCCAATAATACAATTACAATTCTGCTTGCCCAGCCTTGTCCTTAGCCTGGTTCTGCTGGAGGTTTGAGGGAGTTTTTCCTTTCCACTGTCGCCTTCATGCTTGCTCAAGATGAGAGTCTGCAATGAAGTGAGACTCAGAGCAGTCTGCTCCTCAGATAAATAATGTTGTTAACTTACTTTTAATGTATATGAATGTTTCTGTTCAGTGCCCTGAGATGACTTCTGTGACTTGGCGCTATATAAATAAATTGAATTGAATTGAACAATTGTGTAAAAATATTTCATGTTGACTTTTTTAACTTTGTATATTTCTGTCATATTAACAATTTACTATAAAATACAATGACTCAAAATCATATTGTGTGAAAATATGCTATTTGACTCAAAGCAAACACTTTATCAATGAAAAAAAAAAAAAACTTGTGAAAGAAACTATTTCCAATATACACCAGCAGGTCAGAAAACAAATGCTGAGCCCGGTCAGGATTCCAAAGAATCATGTAAAAACTATTGGTACTGTCCCAAAAGTATTATCTGGTAGTATTTTTCATTTTTAATCATTCTGAATCCACGGATTGTCCTGCGAAGGCTTCATGTTTCTATTCCCTCTCTCATCTCCTTTCACGTGAGTTTTTGCTGCCCCTTCAGCTTTTGCTTTTGTAAAGATAAAATGATTATTATTTACCTCCGAGTCTCCTGCCTCTGCCTGCATGCGGGTTCAGCACAACCGCAGAACATGATAACAAATTTTGTTGTGCTCATTCATCAACATGTGAGGAAATACTGTTCGTCAAATAGAAACAGAGAAGCTGTTTCTGTATGACGAACAGGGGAGTGGTGGCGCAGAGGTTAGAGAAGGTGGGCCTGTGATCGGAAGATCGTCGGTTCAAGCCCCGGTACTGACAACATCAAAAATGTGGGTGGTGTAGGTGAAGCAGCCACACCTGCCCCCACCCTCATTCATCCCACTCTGAGCCCTTGAGCAAGGCCCTTAACCCAAAGCCCTTAACCCCCACCATCTGCTCCTCCGGGTGTCCTAGATAGCAGCTCTCTGCTCCACACAGAGGGCTGTGGTAGCTCGGTGGTCTGTGGTTGTGTCAGGATGGGCATCTGCAGTAAAAATAACTGCCAAATCTTCGTGCGACTTAGTTCGCTGTGGCGACCCCTGGAGAAAGGAGCAGCCGAAAGAAGAAGAAAAAAACAACAACAACCAGAAACAGAGAAGCTGAAGGTAATACTGATATAATCTCACAACAGGATGATACTTGTACAAGTTTTATGTCCCACCACTGCACAAAACTTTCTGTTAAAAGAGATTTATTGTCTCCCCTCCCCCCCCCAATCCCCCCCCCCCCCCAATAAAAAATATAAATCGAACAAGGAATGTTGGAACTAGTTAAATACATTGAAATGTTATAATAATAACATTGTTATCAACAACGCTATTAGATTAAGAACATAGTAAAAGTTGTATTCTATTTTAAACGTCAGTGTTTTCACCCTGTAAAGGTGAGATGTAGTATTTTCCTTAGAAAGCAGGCTCTATTAAAATGCAAATTGTTATTTAGATAGCAGTAAAAATTGTGCCACTCCTTGCTTTCCAGACGTCTCTCAACTCTTCGGTCCTTGCTCAGAGAATCAGTGCAGACTTGAGGGAAAGGTCATCTGTTCCAATGTGCATGCATGAGTGTCCACAGAACGTGCCCATTTTCTGCTGAGAGAATTTATAAGCAACTTTTATGTTGAACAGCCCTTATTTCATCTTATTTGACTATTTCCTTCTTGGGATGCCAATTTGTTTATTGTGCTGCTCAAACCTCATGGAGCAAATTTACAAATTAAATCACCCAGTTCGAGATACAAATAATGTATTTCTTAAATCCAAAAACTCCTTGAATTGGCACCTTATCGTGCTGGAGGTGTTTGTGTGCCTGAATAATCCTAGGAGCTACACGGTTGGGGGCAATTGCAGTTGCCCCTGATAGGGTATCCCAAGGCAGATTGGTTCTGGGTGACAAACCAGACAAGCAGTGATTCCAAAAACTCAAATGGACAGAAAACGTGTCCCTTGTGTGTGATACCGGCGCCCCACCCTGGAGCCAGGCCCGGGGAAGAGGCTTGTTAGCGAGCGCCTGGTGACTGGGTTTTCTACCCATGGGGCCCTGTCAGGCTCAGCCTGAACATGCAACATGAATTTGCCTTCCTGTGGGTGCACCAGTTGCAGGAGAGGCCATACGAGTCAGGCGCATGACTCCATGGGCGGTAGAAAAAGGTGGGGGCCTTGGCACTCAGACTCTGGCTTAATAAAGTTGGCTCTTGCAACGTAAGAGATGGACTGGTGTGGTATCTGCAGCATTGCAGACTCTGTACCAGTTCATTGTGGTAAAGAGGGAACTGAGCTGTAATGTGAAGCTCTCTGTTTACTTGTCTGTCTACATTATTACTTCCTAAGAAGACTAAAGAAGTTTGGTACGAACACCAGCATCCTCACTAACTTTTATAGGTGCAACACTGAGAGCTTGTTGACAGGCTGGATCATAGGGTAGTACGGGAACTGCACCAGTCAGAGCCGGAAATCTCTACAGAGGGTGGTGCAAACAGCAGAGGACATCACTGGTAGCAGTCTCCACACCATCCAGGACATCTACTACAGCCAATATCTGTGTAAAGCACACAGCATCATTAAGGACCACACCCACCCAGCACAAGGACTCTTCCATCTACTATCCTCAGGCAGATGGTGCAGGAACCTCCCATCGCACACAAAAAGACTCAAAGACAGTTATTACCCCACAAGCTGTCAGATTACTGAATTCTTGATAATAGCCTAATAGTGGTCAATTGTCACTGATTGGTCAGGGGGCGTATTCATTGGTTGAGGGCGGAGATCAAGGAGGTCATCCATGTTGGTTGTGTGTTGTTTTCCGGCTCTTATTCTTTTAATACATGTTAGTGGTGCTTAGAAAAGAGCTTAATGTAGCACTAGCGCCACCAGCTGGTAAGGTGCGTTGATATTAATAATCCGCCCACTAGAGGTGAACACTCCGCCCACCAAACGGGAACTATGGGCACTGTGGAGACAGAAAAAAGAGGTCCCACCAGAACCGGACACAACAGGGTCCAACAAGAACCAGCCCTGTGGATAAGGGGCTTAACAGTCACATCACGAGTTAAAACAAGGTCCAGTGTATGTCCGCGCTCTTGGGTGGGACCATTTACATTCTGAGTTAGATTAAATGAGTCCAATAAATCTAAAAAGTCCTTAACCAAGGGCTTCTCCTGACAGCACACGTGCAAATTAAAGTCCCCAATAATGAAAACATGATTAAATTTTGGTGTGATTTCAGCCAAGAAATCAGAAAACTCATTTATGAAATCCTTAGACCGAGGTGGGCGGTAGACGAGTGCGCATAAAGTCGAAGGTGAATGTCCGAGTTCAAAGACGCTCAGCTCAAAGCTGGCGCGGAAAACTGGGATGGGCAGTTGTTTACAGTCAAAAGTTGATTTGAATATTGTTAATAATCCACCACCGTGCTGGCCTGATTGCCGCGGTGCATTAAAATACAGACAGTTCGGTGGCAATAATTCCGTCAAGGTGTTGGACTCACCCGGAGTCATCCAAGTCTCTGTGGTGCAGAAAAAGTCCAAATTGTGCTCTTGAAAATAATCCCTGAGGCTAAAAGTTTTGTTGGTAATAGATCTTGCATTGCCCAAACACATCTGGATACTGTCCAAAGTGGATCGAGCAGCGGTGAAGTTAGCGCGCGCCAATGGCCGCAGGTTTTCAATAACAGCCCCTCCGTTGGTTACCTGGTCCAGGCACGCGGGAAGCTGGCGATGGAAACCCTGACCACCAGCTGAAGAGGAAGATGCAGCGCGCAGGGCTTTAAGCTTTACTAGCCGCCCAGCCCATTTTCCCCTGTGTCTGTAGCCTTGTCTCCAGGCAGGGAGGTGAGGAGCGCAGCGGAGGTAAACTGGCACGTTCGCCAGCAGGGGGGTGGGGTGTCCAGAGGTACGCTCATATTGGTCCAAATAAGCGACATCGGCGGCAGAAAAACGAAGATCCAGAAGCTGTTGTCGGTCATACACCAGCAGCGAGTTTATGTCCCAGATAAAAAAACGAACTAAACACAAATAGTCCAAACACCATCAGCAGAGGTGGATTGCAAGCCATGTACACGGTCGCCATCCTGTGTGTCGCAAATGCCACTACCTTGTCATCATCATCAGAAAGAAAAGCTTTGCAGAGAGTGGTGAAGGCTGCACAGAAATCTGTTGGAATCAGCCTCCCCACCATCACAGACATCTACACCTCCAGATGCAGGAAGAGGGCCACCTGCATCATGAAGGACCCCACCCACCCAGCACACACACTTTTTGCCCCACTCCCCTCAGGAAGGAGGTTAAGGAGCATTAAGTGTAGAACCACTAGACTGAGGAACAGCTTCTACCCTGAGGCTGTTAGACTCATGAATCTCTAACTAGAATAATCACTGTGAAAAACCATATCATGTTGCTGCTGAACTGTTTCATGTTGCTGCTGATCTGTTTCAATGTTGATGTGTTCATGCGTGCACATCTGCTCACAGACTCATGTTCATGTTTGTGCTGATGTTCAATGTTTTATGTTATGAGTGCTTAGTGTATATTTAGTTGATGTTTTTCTTAGTTCATATCTTAGATCTTATTACTGTTTTTCTTAGACATTTTATTGTTGGATGTAACTGGGACCCTGTGTACATAATTTCGCTCCACCACATGTACCACATGAGGTGCGAATGACAATAAAGAAACTCTGACTCTGACTCTGACTCTGGCAGCAGCAGCTAGCTGTAGCACATTTGATGCAGTCTGGGGCATTTTAAACTGAAGTCATATTTTTGTGCTAGAATAATTGATTTATGCAACTCCAATCCACAGTTACATTTTAAAGATAGCAGTTTTAAGACTGAAGCTGGCCACTAATGATCTTGGTCCCAACCGCTGGTGTATGTAGGTAATGTTTTTCCCTCATGCTTGACTTTGAATTAGCTCATCATTGATGATTTATTATTAATATTATACATCACTGGAGACACAGCAATCATTAGATCTGTGTAAAGTGAAACATGCAAACAAATGATTAGATAACTATAATTAATTTAATGACTTTAAATGCATCATGGGTATATGAAGGCAATTGCACCTGCCACACTGACAGCATTAGCCAGTGATGAAGTTTTGTCCATTATAATCATATACAGTAGTGATGGAAAGTTTGTGAACCCTTCTGAATTTCCTTTGCATAAATATGACCTAAAACATCACCAGATTTTCACACGTCATAAAAGTAGATAAAGAGAAGCCAGTTAAACAAATGAGACAAATATTATACTTGCTCATTTATTTATTGAGGAAAATGATCTAATATTACATATTTGTGAGTAGTAAAAGTATTTGAACCTCTAGGGTTAGCAGGTAATTTGAAGGTGAAATTAAAGTCAGGCCTTTTCAATTAATGGGATGATGATCAGGTGTGAGTGGGCACCCTGTTTGATTTAAAGAACAGGGATTGGTAACTCTAAATTGGCCCTAGGTGTGCGTGAGAGAGTGAATGGTTGTTTGTCTCGTTTGTCTTGATGTGGCCCTGTGATGGACTGGAGACCTGTCCAGGTTGTCCCCTGTCCCTCACACAGTGAGAGCTGGACAAGGGCACCAGTGACCTCTGTGACCCAAAAAAGGAAGAAGTGGGTAAAAGATGGATGGCTCTATCAAAGTCTGCTCTTCACAACATGTTTGTGGAAGTGTATCATGGCAGGACCAAAGGAGATTTCTGAGGACCTCAGAAAAAGAGTTGCTGATGCTCACCAGGCTGGAAAAGGTTCTAAAACCATCTGTAAAGAATTTGGACTCCACCAATCCACAGTCAGACAGATTGTGAATGAATGGAGGAAATCCTAGATCATTGTTACCTTCCCCAGGAGTGGTGGACCAACAAAGATCACTCCAAGAGCAAGGTGTAGAATAGTCTGCGAGGTCAGAAAGGACCCCAGGGGAACTTCTAACAAATGAAGGCCTCTCTCACATTAACTAATGTTGATTTTCATGAGGCCACCATCAGGAGAACACTGAACAACAATGGTGTGCATGGCAGGGTTGACGGAGAAAGCCACCACTCTCCAAAAACAACATTGCTGCTCATCTGCAGTTTGCTGAAGATCATATGGACAAGTCGGAAGAATGTTGCAAGAATGTTTTGTAGACAGATGAGACCAAAACAGAACTCTTTGGTTTAAATGTAAAGTGTTATGTTTGAAGAAAGTAAAACAGCATTCTGTCACAATTGGCTGGTGCGGGTGAACCCAGTGGTGCAGGCAAGCAGGCGAGGACTCAGAAATATGAAAAATAAAGAATTTATTAACAGAACAAAAGAGCTGACATGGCAGCAAAGCAAAACATAGAACGAACGGGGGGGGGGGGGGGGGTGTACTCATAATACATACGGGTCATCACCAGTGAGCAGATAAACAATGCCAGGACAAGGACTAACACAGAGACACATACTTGTATACAGGAAACACCAATTAGACCAAGTGATGACACCTGTGTGTAATCACAGATGCCATAGAAGAAGAAAGGACAAGACATGAACACGACACAAGATGGGGCTAGATACTAGAGAAACAAGAAACAGAGGATCTGGGGGAAAACACAGACATAAACACAACATCAGGGACAAGACCACAACTCCTACACATTCCTGCATAAGAACCTTATCCCATCAGAAACCCGTCGTAAGCTCAGGGGTGACAGGGCTTTCTCTGTTGCAGGTCCACGACTGTGGAATGAGTTGCCACTGAGTGTCCGGCAGGCTCCCACACTCTCAGTCTTTAAGTCTCGCTTGAAGACCCACTTCTATTCGCTTGCCTTTAACACGGTGTGATTTGTTTTGGTCCGGTCTGTTCTCTACTCTGTTGGCCATTTTAGTTAGCTTCTGCTGCTATTTGTATCTGTATTTCTATTTTATGTTTTCCTGTCTGCTGTGCATGTTTGGTTCTTTTGTACAGCACTTTGGTTGGCCTTGTTGCTGTTTTAAGTGCTATATAAATAAATTGGTATGGTATGGTATCTGTGAAACATGGTGGTAGTTTCATGGTTTGGCCTGTTTTGTTGCATCTGGACCAGGACAGCTTGCCATCATTGATGGAACAATGATTTCTGAATTATATCAAAGAATTCTAAAGGAAAATGTCAGAACATCTGTCCATGAACTGGTTCTCAAGAGAAGGTGAGTCATGCAGCAAATGGTGCTAAGCATACAAGTT